CTCCCTCTCCCTCTCCCTCTCCCCCTCCCTCTCTCTCTCTCTCTCTCTCTCTCTCTCTCTCTCTCTCTCTCTCTCTGGTCTCTTTATCTCCTCTCCCTCTCTCCTCTTCCCGCTCCCTCCTCTCTCGTCTCTCTCCTCTCTCTCTCTCTCTCTCTCTCTCTCTCGTCTCTCTCTCTTCTCTCTCCTCTCTCTCTCTCCCCCCCCTCTCTCTCTCAATCTCGGTCTTTGTCTCTGTCCCTCTCTCCTCCCCCGCCCTCCCCCCTTCTCTCTCCTCTCACACACTTTCCAGCGAACACGACTCTACACTCCTACTTCCCGAGTTAAGACTGCCTAAATCAAGACCCCAAAACGGGACCCGGGAGTAAATGCTCACAGCCCTCTTTTGTGGGGCCTTGGGGGAAAACGCACACACATATTCACAGAACAGACACACGCACACATATTCACAGACACAGAACAGACACATATTCACAACACGGACACACACACACACAACATATTACAGACACGGACACACACAGACACCATATTCACAGACACAGACACACTACACACACATTCACAGACACATATTGACACATATTCACAGACACACACAACACAGACACACACACACACATATTCACAGACAACAGACACACACACATATTCACAGACACAGACATTTCACAGAACTACACATTCACAGACACATGACGACACACACCACATATTCACAGACACAGACACACACCATATTCACAAGACACAGACAACATGACACACACACACACATATTCACAGCACACACACACACACAACATACACACACGTATATACTCTCCTCCTCTCTCTCTCTCTCTCTCTCTCTCTCTCTCTCTCTCTCTCTCTCTCTCTCTCTCTCTCTCTCTTCTCTCTCTTCTCTCTCTCTCTTCTCCCTCTTCTCTCTCTCTCTCTCTCTTCTCCCTCTCCTCAAGGCAGATATTTCCCTTTCGAGGAACACGTTGAAAACATGTCTCAGAAGGAATGGGTCAAAAGAATTTTTAAAAAGGTCGTCGAGAGATTTTCCTAAAAACTCTGCGGAAAATGTGACATGTGGTAAATGCATAACAGAATCAACAGACCACAAATCAGCAAATAGAATAACTAAAATGTCAGAGATAAAAAGGAGAAAACGGAGGAAAAAAGGAAAACCCACACCAGGAGCCGATGATAATCTGAGCCCGATTATCATTCAAACACCGCGAGACAATGGGCAAGAAGGACCCTCCTCCTCCGGCTTGCTTGCTTCAACCCCTCTCTCCCTCTCTCTCTCTCTCTCTCTCTCTCTCTCTCTCTCTCTCTCTCTTCTCTCTCTCTCTCTCTCTCCTCTCGCTCTCTCTCTCTCGCTCTCTCTCTCTCTCTCTCTCTCTTTCTCTCTCGCTTCTTTTCTCACCTCTCTCTCCCTTTCTCTCTCCTTCTTTTCCCTCCCCACAACAATCAAACCAATTCTTAGCCCCACCAACACCTCCAAACCCAACAACCTCCTTCTCCCACCATCCTCCTCTTCATCACCAACCCATCTAATGCTTTTTATCCTGATCAACCCACCCCAATCCCGCCCCCTCTCCATCCCCCATCCTCAACTCTCTCCTAAGCCTCCCTTAACCCCATCCTCCCCACATCACCATCCTTGCGGCTCTCCTAACCCCACTAACCTTTCCCTTAACCCCTTCTAAGCCCCAAAACCCTTTCCTAGCAAATTCCTTCCCCAACCTCAACTACACACTTCCAACCCTCGATCAACCCTCTAAAGCCCACAACCCACAACCCCTTTCTGCCACAACCAACCTGTTTAAAGCCCCCACAACCCCTCTTACCCTTCTACAACCCCTCTAATAGCCCCGCCCCACAACCCCTCTTACCCTTCTACAACCCCTTCTAAAGCCCCCACAATCCCTCTTACCCTTCTTAACCCTCTAAAGCCCCCACAACCCCTCTTACCACTTCTACAACCCCTCTAAGCCCCCACAACCTCTCTTACCCTTCTTAAACCCCCCTAAAGCCCCCCCAACCCCTCTTACCCTTCTACAACCCCTCTAAAGCCCCCACACCTCTCTTACCCTTCTACAACCCCTCTAAAGCCCCCACAACCCCTCTTACCCTTCTACAACCCCCTCTAAAGCCCCCACAACCTCTCTTACCCTTCTACAACTTAAGCCCACTACCCTCTTACCCTTACAACCCCTCTAAAGCCCCCAAACCCCTCTTACCCTTCTATAACCCCTCTAAGCCCCACAACCCTCTTACCCTTCTACACCCTCTACAACCCCTCTTACCCTTCTACAACCCTCTAAAGCCCCTCTTCCCCAACTCACCCCTCCTCCATCCCCCAAGGCCGCCCACAACCCACAACCTCTCTCAAACCGCCCTCCACCACTCGTGCCGCCCTCCTTCTAGCTATTCTCGCCTCTCTTCCTCCCTCTCCTCCGTCCTTTCCGCGCTCCTTCACACTTTTGTATCCTTCCTCCTTGTCCCTCAAACCCCCCTCCCCACCCCCTCCCCAGCCTTTCTCTTGTACTTCGTACTTCTTATTCTTTTCTTCCTTTATGGTTATTATTGCATTACTATCACCACCATCTTTGTTGTTATCATTGTTGTTATTATTACTATTTTGATTTTATTATCACCATTACCTTTGTCCTCCTTTATTTCCATTATCATCCTTCTTGTGCCTTCTCCACTTCCTTCTCTCTTCCTCCCCCCACGCACACACACACAACACACACACACACACACACACACGCATCATACACACACACTGAAGCACACTTAATGTACATTTTCTTTCAACGCGCTCTCGCCTCTCCACGCCCCCCTCCCCCCCCCCTCACGTCCTCCGTATCTGCTCCCTTAGTCTCGTTAGATAACTGTTCCTTTTTTCATTCCTTTTTCACTCTCCTTCCCTCGTTTTATTCATGATATTTTCCTTTCTTTCTTTCTCTCTTTCTTTCTGTCTGCCTCTCCTTCTCTCTGTCTCTTTGTTTCTCTATTTATCTCTCGATCTCTGTCTTTTAATTCTCTCTCTCTCTCTCTCTCTCCTTCCTTACTTCCCTCCCTCTCCCTTTCCTTCCTTCCTCCCTCCCTTCCTTCCTCCTTCCACCCTCCCTCCTTCCCTCCTCCTCCCTCTTCCAGCCTCCCTCCCTCTCTCCCTCCTCCCTCCTCCTTCCACCCTTCCCCCTCCCTCTCTCCCTCCCCCTCCCTCCCCACCCCCTCCCCCCCCGCCCCCCAGATCCTCTGCCAGTAGCACAAAGCATCCGACCTAATAACCCTTTGAAACAGTAAAACGATAATTATCTCGAAATCAATTTTCACGTGAACAGAGGCGGGCGCGTGTTGTCACTCGCCCGGAAGGTAAAAAAAATAAAGGAGAGAAAAAAGTAAAGAAGTGATAAAAGGGAAAAAAAGAAGTGATAAAAGGGAAACAAAGAAGTGATAAAAGAAAATTAAAAGGAAACAAAGAAACAAAAAGTGATAAAAGGGAAACAAAGAAGTGATAAAAGGGAAACAAAGAAGTGATAAAAGGGAAACAAAGAAGTGATAAAAGGGAAGCAAAGAAGTGATAAAAGGGAAACAACAGAAAAGGTAATTAGAGGACAAAAAAACTGAGAAAAAACGAGAAAAAGTGAAAAAAAGAGAGAAAAAAGTAAAAAAAAAGCGATAAAAGGGAAACAACAAGGTAAAGAGAAGACCAAGCAACGAGAGAAAGAAAGAAGAAAACAAAAGAAAACAAAACAAAACACAATGAGACAGAAGAAAAAAAAACAATAAAGACAATAAGAGCAGTCTCCGAGAATCCATTATTGACGGCGGTGCACAATCATCGGGCTTTCCGGAAGTGCAATAATCGGCTTCTGGATGTACGCAAGTTTATCCGCACATCTCACGCGCACATACGTACAGCCGTATACTACGTGCAGGTATGTGTGCACATAACCGCACACACGCTTTCGAATACGTGCATATATAGAGATTTGTGCTGTCTGATACACGCACGCGCGCACACACACACAACACACACCACACAACACAACACACACACACACACACCACACACACACACACACACCTCTGCACGTCCACGTATAAAATTGAATCCATTTATCACGACCTTGGCAACCTGACCCTCCTTCACCTCTAGCCCCCTCCCCTCTCCCCCTCCCCCTCCCCCTCCCCCCCCCTTTATCCGATCCTCAGTTTCGCAGATTTATGAGTATCGGCGAGAGCTTTAGCGGTTCTAAGCTCGAGCTCACCTTAAGCTCGAGCGCAGGCGGAGCTCAGAGCCTCCGAGGCCGATTCCTTTCAGCGGTGGAGGGGGGGGGAGGGTCGAGGAGGGGAGTGATGGGGGAGGGGAGAGGTGGGGTGGAGAGGGTGGGGGGAAGGGGGGGGCGAGGAGTAGTGGGGAGTGGGCGGGGGGAGGAGGGAGTGGGAAGGAGGTGGGGTGGGCGGAGGGGGTGGGGAGGAAGAGGAGGGAGGTGGCGGAGGAGAGGATGGCGGGGAGGGGGTGTCAGGGAGAGGGAGGTGGTGGGGGAGGTGGGGGGGAGAGATGTGGGAGAGGAGGGAGTGGGAAGGGAGAGATGTGGGAAGGAAGGGGATGACAAGAAAGGGAAGAGGAGGAAGGAGGAGGGGGAACAGAGGAAATAGGAGGAAGAAAAGGAGGGAAAAGAAGGGGAGAGGGGGAGATAAGGGAGGAGGGAAGAGGGAAAGAAGAAGGGAAAGAGGAGGAAGAAAAGGAGGGAGGAGAAGAGGAAAAAGGAGGGGAAGAGGGAGAGGAAGGAGGAAAGGGAGGGGTGAGGGC